ATAAGATTAATATTAATAGTTATAGAGAATAAAGAAGTAGAAAATATGTGCTGTGTTTCTTTACAAAAGCATCAATAATATTCCTAATATATCAATTATTTGTGCTCGTTTAATATAAGATTTAACTTATAAAATAATTCCAGAAATGAACTTTCGAATTTTGCGAATTTATTGCTATAACAGGTACAACACAATTGTTGTAATTATTAATAATTATGATAAATGTTACCATAAATTTATTGTCATAATTCTTCATATGTGCTTTCGCGTAAATACAACATTTAAAGACACTTAAATTTAACGTGGTTAATTATATATCTCAGTACTTTCGTGATTAACAATAATTACGCCCGCGAATGCCATTTAAGGACACTACGAACTTTCGACTTTCCCTTCCCTCTGTCTGCCAATTACAATCGCCGCGTTTGGATGAATCTTAACGTCTCCGAGCGTTTCACGAGTTGTTGTCCACTGTTCGTTAAGCCAGTTTCATGATTTACGATTCCGAGCGAAATGCGAATTAATTGAGAAGGAGATAGAAAAGCCGAAGGAGCTATTGTGGCTCTTTAAAAGAAAACGAGAGAAGGATGAGTTAAAAGGAATAGAATCACTAATAGTTGTAAATATCTTGTGCTAGATCCGTAGCGATTATTATAGTTTCATAAAAAATCATGACACGTAAATACATGAAAGTCCCATCAAATGCAGCATTCGACTCATCCGCCTGTAAAATGGAAATTAATCTTTTGCCATTTAATATGCGGCGAATTCTGCTCCGACTTCTTGTCAATTCGTTCTTTATCGTTTTCATGAATGAAGCAACGATAAGCATTCAGATAAGCCATCAAGTTATCAGATATCAGATGACAAGAAGCTATTTTGAAGATTGTGATATATATACACTTGAGAAACAAAATTGTTCAATTAACTAAATTAAAATTTAAATCGTTTTTATTTCTTTTGATGAAAAATGTAAATCAAACTTATTATATTTAATTTGAATACATACATTCTATTCAACGAAGGAAATAAAAACAAAATAATTAATTTAGTCAAGTAAACAATTTTTTCTAAATGTAAGTATTTACCTTATTTTCCTTTGTTTCTTGATTGTAAATTGCGATTAATGATCCTCAATCTTCAATTAATTTTATTATAATGTTAGAAACTCACATCTAATAAATTGAATACTTGTATATTTATTTACATTTTTTATAATTAAAGCAATAAACTTTAAAAAAGAAAATTATTACGTTTAACGTCTAAATGATAGATATATTTGTATTTACTTTTAAATTAATCTTATTGTCGTAGCATAAACATGAAGAAAATCGATATCAATTTATTCACACATGATTTACGTTTACCCGAAAAAAAGTTTTTATTCAATGTGTGAAATTGAAGTCTGGACAGAGTTGAATATTTATCCTTCGATCTTCCTCAGGAAAAATAACATTCTCGGTCAGTGGCTCCAATTTCATCTTCTGAATATCGGAGTTGAAAAAGAGATGGATACGTTTTAAGAAAACACTTAAGTCGTGGTCTGCCCTGCTTCAGGTTTTGAGGCGCCCTAAGGTCGAGCGATAATCATTCGGACAGATATGGTTGAATAAACCTCTTTGAATGACTTCTTACTTGTCAAATCAAATGAATTTGATCTATTCGTGTACATTTTTTTTATTTCTAATCTTTTATTGTCGATGAAAATGCTTGCACGCAGGAAAACTACTTTACCTTTTTTTCTGGTATCGATAGAATTCGTTTTTTTCTTATTATTAATTCTTTATATTATTTAGATTTATTCTAAATCGTAATTAAACAAACAGATTATGCTAATAAAATACTAGCATTTTCATCAGAACAGTTTACAATTAATCATTCAATAAAAATGCAAAATTTAAAAATTATTACGATTTAAATAAATAATCAATACCTTTAAGCATTTAATTTTATTAATTCTATTCTATCTTGTTAGTAAAAAATAATTTAAATTAAAAAAAATTTTATACATAAGGTATATTAAAAATAAACTGTTTTTAAATTTATAAATACTTACAATTTAATCTTTCAGATTTAACTTTTTTTATATACGATGAAAATGAAGAAAGTAATGCATTTTGATTACATTTCGGTGAAAAAAATTGCGCCTCACACGATAATATAAAGTATAAAGTAGATAATATAAAGAAAAGAAATTTTTTTCGAGGAACTGATGCAGATTTTTGGAGCAGCAGTGCGTATATGCAAAGGGACCGACATATAGTCTCATAACGTATGTATCTCGCTTTCTATCGAAGCTCTTGGAACCATATTAGTGCATCCTGCATTGCACAAACCGCAATAGTCGGCTCCATATTAGCAGCGTGCGCCGTTCATTTCTTTTCGCGTATACTTCATTAATTGTAACAATACACATATTTGCACGGTAATGCACTAATGCATTTTGTACAATTCCCTCTTGTAGATATGCTGTCGTTGTTCAAATGATATGACGATTCCTCTCTTTTTTTTATATTATCTAGATTGCTAATTTAATAATTAAAATTATTATTTTCTTAGACATCAAGTGGCTATGGAATACTTTTATATTCCGTATTTTTATATATTTATAAAATGTTCGTATATTTATAAAATATTAATACTCCGTTCAATCGCTCAAGGATAGCTTTGAAAAACTCGACGAAGAATTCTAATAGAGAAGATCCTTATAAACGATCCGCGATCGTAGATCATGTCTCATGCAAACCTCCGCGCCGTAGGTTATTTATAATTGTTAGGAGCGCATTGTAACGAGTGCCTGAGTTATTGGACGTCGCGAGGAATATTGTGTCCTCGTTGAACCTCCTGTCACGTCATGGCCACGCGCATATTTTGTATCACACCCGTTATACTGCTCTCAGGCGATGAGGAAGCGTCGTGGACTTCGACCGACTTAAACTGCATTTCCTCACTGCATCGCGAATCCCACGGTTTCTATAACAAGCCTCACGATATGAGTTTTCAAGTTCTTTATACCTCAATTATAACACGCAGCAACATCAGGGAAATAAATCAAGAAATAATTTGGACGCTAAATTAAAACCTTGATTAATAAATCGCATGTGAATTACTTCATTAACTTGCCTGATGGCCAGGAAATGTATGTATAGTTACGCTAATGCCCAATTAGTGCATCTTCCATGAATTACATTTTTAACTGACATGGATAAATTCTGCTTCTAAGAATTAAATTCATAAATTGTCTGAATTATTTAAGACGATTATTTAAAACTCTAATATATATATGTATATTACTTTACAAAGATTTAAAATTTTTTTTCTTAAATATTATAATTTCTAAATATAATTTAAAACTTTTTAATATGTCCCAAATATTGAAAGGATTGATTATTTTTCTATGACGTTTCTATTAATGTTTCAAAAAAAGATTTCCACAACAGTATTTTCTCATAAGAAAAAATTAAATGAGATTTAACTCTGTCTTTTTTTAATTTTGTTTATAAAAAGGATCGATATAAGTCTCAAATAATTTGAATCAATGTTTATGGGAACGATTCTTAGGGTTTTATAAAAATTTAAATCTGTTGCTTGAGATGCACGTTCTGTATTTCTTCGCAACTGATGCTCCTATGAGATTCTACCACCGCAGAACAGTGAGACTTAAATACCTTGTAGATCTCTCGGACGAGGTTTCTCTCGCGTTCGGTCGCGTGTCGCAGATCCGCGTTGCTTTCATGGCGTCGAATTAATTTTCATGGATTTCCGCGGGACGAACAAGACAGGCTCGCACCACAAACACGATCATTCCTCGGTCGTAGAGGGAAATTAATTGGACGCGGCTGCAACTTTACGGCTGTCACCATTATATGGCCTTTACAGGCGGCTTAAAGCGTCGTTGCACCGCGCCGTATGAGATAGTTAACGATTAATGTGATCGTCCGTTCGCTTGCTCGCTCGCGTTCACCGGCGCGTGTTTCACACGCGGGATCTCGACTGAACGACGTTAATTACGCTATCAAGTAACGTGAGGATATCGTGTATCGCCCGCGATAATTGCGACTAACTAGTCGCTTCAATTGGGATGAATTGTCATTTTCTCGCGATCGCTTTTTTCGCTGTCACATCTGTCGCGGATCCTCTCATATACATTTATTTCGTTTCATCTAACTGTATCATTCTACTAAATCAATTTAACGGATATTAAATTGAATCGCTGACAGCTATAGAAATGGATGACTTTCGTATTAAAGAAGACACTGCGAGACAGGCTTCTAAAGTTCTCCAGAGAAGAATATATTTTAAACCAACTGTAATATGTAAACAATGAAATAAACCATTTTTTAAAACAGTATTAAGTGAAAATGGAACCGAGAAATATTGAGTGAAATATAATTAAGTGAAGAAAGCGTATGCAAGGTAAGTCTTAGTGCATGCCTAGTAACATTTTTATGTGATTTCTTATAATTTTCAGTTCAAATAATTGCACATTATTATATATAATTGCACTAATTATATACTTATTATTGGTCTTGAAATACAGTTTTAAAT